CTGCAAGCAGTGGGTGTCATTGCTGGTGTGAGGCTTCCAGAGCCACAGCAGCCAGTGATGTTCCCAAGAGTGGCTTCTCCATTGTCCCAGGCCTTGGAGGAAAGGACAATGCAGAGCTGAGCCCGCCTGCTGATCACAGCCATAGAGTCAGAGTGAGAATTGACCTTTGTTGTTTTCAGCTACTGTGACCCAGCCTATCCTAAGCAATACACTACTGGAAGGAGATGATTTTCCCAAAGGTAATAAATTTCCTCTAGTCAAATGTCTTGAAGTATTTTCAGTCCTACTCTCACGAATTCAGCACAGTACTGATCACTGGTGGTCACCTCCCTGCCTTCCTATCTCTGTTGGGGTCTTTTTTTCTGACTTCTCTTCCTCCCCTCCCCTCTCTGCAGGCATCCTCAGGTTCCAGTCTGCCTGTGTCATAATCTCTTTCTTGGACACCTTATCCATCATTTCAGTTTCAACTTACTCCAATTCTAGTTCTGTTTTTCCCTTTTCATACAACTTCTCCAAAATTCAACATGAGCTCAAAGTGATAGCATCTCTGAATGCTGCCCTTGGTCACCTACTGTCTTAGCCACTTTTCTCACTGCTGAGACACCATATCTGACACCCACAACTTAAGGGACCAGAGGTTTATTTTGGCTCACAGTTTTAGAGGTTTCAGTCCATGGTTGGCTGGCTGCAAGGCAGAGAAGGTATGGTGAAAGGGCCTGAGCCGAGGACAGCTGCTCACTTCATGGTGGGCAGGAAAAAGAGAGAGAAGGGAGGAGCTGGGGAGGGACATACACTCTTCCAGGTCACACCTCTAGTAACCCACCTCCAACCAGGGCCCACCTTGTAATTACACATTCAGCTCTGAATTCATCTGCAGATTAATCTACAAATGAGTGCAGCACCCTATGATCCAATCACCTTCCAAAAGCCCCACCTCTGAGCACATGAGGCCTTTGGGGGACATTCTATATCTAAAGCGTGACACCTCCCTAACCTTGTCTGTTCTTGTCTCCAGGCCTGATACTCCACATGCCCCCCTCTGCTCTGTTCTTCAGACCCAGTCAGACAACAGGTTCTACTGATTATTTTTCTAACTCTTCCTAAATAGTCCTTCCTTTCCACCTCCATCTCACCAGTACCCTGAATACTCAGACCCATGCTAATAGTCTTAAATCCTCTGAACCTTCCCCTCACATCCACAACTCACTCCCAGACTTGTCTCCCCCAACACCAGCCTTACACAATAATCCATCTCCGTTACAAATCAAACTCAAATTTCTCTGACATTCTAGGTCTTACAACCTTAGATTTTGTGCTTTATTCTTTAGTTTTTTCCTTACTCTGTCCTTAAATCATCAACTCACTGCTGATAGTGGACATGTGTTAATTTTGTTACTCCATCATTCCTGACCCTCCTTCAACTGTTCATTTTATGTGACCCTGGTTGGGCCAGTATCAGTGCCCACATTAAGTGAACTTGTGGTTACAGTGACATTATGTCCTGCTTTCCCAGAAGAGCCCTAGTTTATGCCTATTATTCTTTTTTTTTTTTTTTTTTTTTTGGTACTGGGGATCAAACTCAGGTCCTTGCACTTGCACAGCAGGCGGCAAAACCACTGAGCTAAATCCCTGGCCCTATGCCTATTATTCTAATAAATTAATAGCACCTATTTCCACTCTCAAAATATACCGTATCAGTTAGGGCCACGTGCAATCACCCTAAACATGGCTCAAGTCCCGCATGAAGGCACACACCTCTAATCCCAGCTCTTGGGAGCCCTAAACAATGTGACTCATGAGTTTGAGGCCAGCCTGGGTGACACAGTGAGACCCTGTCTCAAAAAACAAACAAATTAACTAACTAAAAATATAGCTCAAGAAAGCTATCAGAGTCCATCCATGGATTTGGGACAGGTGCTAGAGGAGATACTACCTTCTCATGGCTGTACCCCAGATTGTAGGCAGCTGGTTCCCCACACATGGAGGGCTGTTCTGCAGCAGTCAGAGGCCAGCATTCAGGGTAATGAGGACCACATTTGGGTTCCTGGATCCAGGCACATCTGAAGTTCGGGAGCCAATATTCCCCTTTTGGAGAAATCTGATCTGGGGTTCTTGTCACACACAAGTCTGGCCAAACATATGAAGTCTCCCTGAGCCCCTTACTCAGTATAAGTCCCTGTCTTCAAAGCCCACTTGGTCCATCCTCCTCCATGTAGCCCTGGACATTCCACCCAACTTCTTCAGAACTGCTTTGGAAATTTATGCTCTGAGTCTTATAACAATGGCAGCCTCTGCCCTGCAACCTCATAAAGACAATGTTTACATTTACTGGCCAGTTGTTTCAGGCCCTTTTTTCTTCCAAGAACAAGATTCTATGCTTCTGGGGACAGAGGGACCCAGCATAATCTCTTCTTGTTTTCTTGAGGGCTAACAGGGTGCTGTGCACATAGCAGCCACCCAATAAATATTTGTGGAGTATATGAATTATAAATGTAAAGGTAATATTGACTATGTGTCCAAGCAGAAGAGAGTGTCCTATGGGAAGTGGCCAGTGGGAAGTCGCCTGTGTATCTAGGCTTGGTGGGCACACATATTCATCATCTTTCTTTAGGTGTGCAGTCTTCCGGTCGGTCTCATTCTTGCTTTCCCCTCATTTCAGTCTGACTCTTGTCTCCGCCTCTGGAACCATTCTCTAGGCACTGATGTTCTCCCTACCTAAATCCATCTCCATCTTGCTCTGGGCAACTCATCACTTCTCCTCTTGAAAGCTCTGTCTTCCCCTGACTTCCACTCCTGGGAAACAAGGACTCCTCCCCTCCTCATTTCTTTGGTTGCTCATTCTCCACTGACTCCATCATCTTTCTTTGATCTTTACATATTGGATTTCCCCATGGTTAAGGCCTTGGGCCCTCTTCTCCACGCCATGTCCTTTTCCTGGGCAATTGTTGGGAGCAATGCTACATAATTCTAGGGAAAAATCTTTTGAGTAGGCCTAGTTCTCCTGCCTACAGGCCAGCTACAACATTCCAGACATAATTGCATTTTGGCCTCGGGTCACAACTGAGACCTCAGTGATCCCTGGATGCTGTAATGCTCCAGGACAAGACCACACCCTCAGGAGATGCCAGGGAGGAACCAAATCTTCATCTGCATAGTTCCTCATTGTTCTTAGATTTCCACTGCCCTCCAGTTGTTACACCTTGTTTATCCCAATGTGAGGTACTGAACTCTGCGTTTTCACTTGTTACATCTGTTTCCCTGTGTACTGAATAAAAAGTGCTGCAAGCTAGGAGGACTTTCGTCTTTGCTGCCTGCCCAGAGCAACACTAATCAGACCCAAAGCTCAGCTTCTTCTCAGTCTCATTTTTCTACCTTTCCTGTAATTCACCGTGTGCTGCCATGGCTCACAGGAGACTAGGACTTACTACAGTAACGTCCCCTTAACCTGTTCCCTATAGGCAATCTCGTGAACACTTATGGTACAATTTCATACTTATGTCAATAATTTTGGACTGTATTTCTTGCGCTCAGATCCACATCCATGAATCCAATTATTTTCCAACTATTCTCATTTGTCTCATATGTGGTACATCAAATTGAAACGTTTCCCCACTTATCAGTAAGAAGTTTCTGCCTACAAATAATAGAAAACAAACCCTTGAACAATAAGAACATAGGTTGTCTCGTAAGAAATCCAGAGACAATGAAACTGGTTAACAGCTCAACAACGTCAACAGCCTGAGTCCTTCCCACCTTTTGCTGTGTCTTTGTGGTTGGACATGGTCTTTAAACTTGATCCTCATGTTAACAAGAGGGCCAATTATGGCCCAGTAGGTATCTCTTTCACTAGGGAGGAGATCCCTTTCCCAACTTCCTTCCCCCAATACTAGTCTACAGGTTTATATGATGGAGGTATTGACCATGAATTCAGTGTTTACAAATCAACCATATATATCAATAAGGTGTGCTCAATAAAACACACACAAGGTTAACAATGGATCAGTTGACCAAACTGTTGTGTCCAGAGAGTTAGGAACCTAACCATGAATTTCTGTTGGGAACAACTCCCCAGGAGCATTTCTAAATCAAGTCTACCTGTACAGTGTTTGTTGGTGCTACAGTCAACATCCAGGAGACAAGTTGCTGGTAGGGAGTCAGGTTCACTCAGGCTGGCCCTGAAGAGGACAGAGGTCCTAACTCCTCCAAGCTCTCTCTCCTCGTACACAGGGGCTGGAGGGTTTTTATGGGGGAAGAAAGGCAGTGAAGCTGCAATCAGGGCAAGGTATTCCCCAACAAATGCGTCTTCTCCAGAAATTCAGGCTGGATTCCCATCTCCTGTGGGTAGCTACTGTGGAAGGTGTTGCAAAGGCCATTTGGGTCCTATGACTCTAAAAAAAAGTTTGGCAGTTAAATCTAGGAGAGGCTTTTCTTCACCCCGAGAACCTGGGAGGAGAAAGTACAGGGAATAGGGCGTGAAAGGCAATTTAAGGGAGCTAGTCAGTCACACGGGCACTTCAAGGAACACAAGATGCACGTGGGGGCGCGAGGGTGTGAAGAGACCAGTGGGGAGGCCAGTGGAGGGAACACAGACACTTTTCGCTGGCAGTGACTTCTAAGGCATGCTGGTCCACACCGCACCTTTCACCCCTCTAGGTGACCCAACGCAGCGGTCTCCCCACCCGCCTCTCTCTTGGGGGCCTGTGCTGCTCCGTCCCGGAGATTCCCTGAGGGGCACGCCGTGAGGCCGCGGGGACGGCACTCTGACTCAGATTCCACGCTCACGACAGCCTAGCTGAGCCTGCGCTGAGATGCTTCACCGTGACTCAGCCGCTCCCGGCCAGAATCTTTTGGACTGTTCGAGAAAAGAGAACAACCGGCGGGGGAAGGGGCAGGCTGATAGGTCTGGCGCTGCGGGATTGGTTAGCTGTCCGATGACGTGTAGAAACGCGCCGACCCCTTCAGGTAAATGAGTCACAGGATTGGTCAACCTGAGGGTGACGCCTTTGGGACGCGCTGGGAACGCCCGGCCCGTGGTGCTTGGACTGGGTAGCTGTGGATAAATCACCGGGGCTGTGGGCGCGGTGGTGCTGCATTTCTGGCGCAGCTCGCGTGTTGGCGGAGGTCTTGCTACCTTGCTCCGTGGGGCTGACCGCGGAGAAGGACACCCTTTCCATCTTCGCGACCTTACGCTGGCTCCCACAGCTGCCCAGGTTCTTGCAGAGAGCCAGGTACCGGGTCAAGGTGGATGCCGGGTCTGGATCTACCCTCGGGCAGGGCCCGAGGCCTGCCCGGGGGCGCGGGGGGTTACTATCGTGGTCCGAGGGAGCGTTTCCTCGCTGTCGGCCCTGGCCTGTACGGACAAATCGTTTCTCTCTCAAAGAGTAGAGCGATTGACCCTCCCGCCCCGCGTCAGGCATGCGCTGACCAGCGTTCTAGTCAAGAATAAGGAGATTGTAAGGTCGATATCAGGTTCTGGTCAACAAAAACCTTATGCTTGGTGTTGTGCACTGTGCCAGGCCCCTCGGGTGAACGATGGGCACACCCAGCACGAGTTGCCCTTGGGAGCTGTGAGTGCCGCTGGCGGAGGAAGGGTAGAGGGCGCGTGACTTAGGTGGAGGCTAGCGAGGGATGATCCTTTTGAGGAAGTAGCGCTTTAAACTTAGGTCCTGACGGGGTGCATAGATCTTAACTGTGGCAAGAATGTTCCAGCCATAGGACGGCCTGGGAGGGTAGGGGCTCCAGGAGAGAGCGCTAATGGGCAAATCTGGAAAACACCTCCGTTACTGGAACTTTGGAAGGGACCGGAGTTCTGCGAGTTTTGGTGGGTGCCAGATCCTGCAGGGGACCTTTTGAGCTCTCCTGTGTATTTGAGTCCTCTCACTGGTGCAGCGGTTTCACTGGGGTTCATGTGTTTTCCATTATGAATTAATGGAAATTAATGTTAATGGCTGGCACCTCTCCCTCATCAACTCTGGGCTGATGTCATTAAGGAATAAGCTCAAAGTAAGACTCAATGCTTAAGGGAGACAGAGGGAGGGAGGCAAGGGACAGAGCTAAACCTCGTCTGAATAGTGTAGTCAGCTAATGTGATTTAGCACCTGGCAACGGAGTTTTGTTTATGTCGACAAGTATATTCAGTAATGAAATTGTGCCTTATAATCTTTATAGATTGTAATTTTTTTCTAGCAGCTCTGTGATTTGAATATGGGAAGCCCCTTTTAGTATGAGTGCAAATGTGGTTTGGTGAAAACCTAGAAGTCGGGGTGAGCTTCATAAACTAAGATTTAAAAGAACAATGAAGAAAGCAACTCATCTCTCCTAGTGGGGTGTTCTGAAGCTGAGACCTGGTGTTTGTGCTGAAACTCTCATTTTTCTGTTTACTGAAAGTCAACAAGAACTTGTGATACCTCAGTTTTGCTCAAGAGCCCAGGATGACTTGGTCTTTTAATGTTCCCAGTAGAGGGTGTCTGCTCTCATTAGCTAGATAGGTTGTAAGTCCTGGGGACTAACTTGGGGGTGTCATTGCTGAGTCTCCTAATTCTTCTAATTCTCATAGGCGATATTTAACTGCCACCTGTGTTGTGAACACTGTTTTCATAATGGAGTTTCCTGATTTGGGGAAGCATTGTTCAGAAAAAACTTGCAAGCAACTAGGTAAGCATGTCTAAGAATATATATTAATAGGAAATAGTATTTGGTTGGCAGTTTTGTCGGAGAGCTAGCCATTCCACCAGGTAGCTGACAATTTTGTCTTGGCCTTTCTAGGTTTTCAGTATTGGGGGTCTGGCGTGGGGTGCATATTCTGTTCATTGCTGATTAGTATCAGCGCTAAGGCTGGGCACCAGGCTGGCCTCTTGGGCTAAGTGGATACAAGTGTAGTGGTTAAATGATTGTGATACAGTATGAAATGGGATCTGTCTTGAAAAGATAGCTTTATGGATCCTTAAACGTCATTGAGTATTGTTAAATTCATAACCCAAAGTTGTTTTCCCTCTGTGATGAAGCACTTAGTATAAAGACTCGCTTAATATGATCTATAGTTTTTTCCCCTAATCCTTAAAGAGACTTTTTACTTTTGTTTTTTTGGTTTTTTTAGATTTTCTTCCACTAAAATGTGATGCATGTGAACAAGATTTCTGTAAGGATCATTTTACCTATGCTGGCCATAAGTGTCCCTCTGCATTCAAAAAGGTAATTCATCTTATTCTTTTCAGAAGGTTCTAATCTGCAGGGTAAAGCTCTACCGATCACTGTAGTGTAGGTGCTAGCCATAGCTGGCTACTTAATGAGAATTAAATAAAATTTAAAATCCAATTTCTTAGCCAGGCTAGCCATCTTTCAAGTGTTGTGTGACCACCGATCACTGTATTGAATAGCATGGTTAAGGAGCATTTCCTCCATCTCATGATACTCTGTTAGACAGTGCTGCTTTAAAGTGATTGAGATTTTTTTTTCAAGACTTGCGGAATCAAATTGTTGTAACCGTGAATCATGAGATTATAAATTGGTTAAAAGACAAATAATGGATTTGCAAATCGGGAGACACAGGTTTAGTTGGAAACTAGCCACATGTTCTGGCAAGAGGACTGAGTTTTTAAAGAGACAAAGGGGGGACATGTGGTAAGGTGAAATAACTTGTTCTAACTTTTTCATTTGGCCCTGTTAGCTACACAAGTTGTTTGGAATGAATTTATATTGGTGCTGGGGTCTGTTCATACTTTAAGCTGTCCCTGATGGTTTGCTAGGGGTCATCAGAAAGCAGTAAGTCTTCTGGAACTGTCAGCAAGTCAGCAGGAATCCCTCACCCTCAGGTTGGAAATCAGTGTAGTCAATGGTCTTACAAGCATGTTCTTGCCAGATGGTGTCTTTTATCTGGAAATTAGAGCCTGGACTCATGTCTGGGTGGCAGACTGCAGCAGCTATTGGATAGGAGGCTCACAGGGAAATTTTCCTCCCAAAAAGCTGTCTTCACTTTTATTCTCGTACAACCTAACCTTCAGAGCTCTCTTTTCCTATTACATTCTTGGTTCCTTTGATCCATTTGCACCAAGGAAAACACAGCTGTATCTTTATGGGGTGTAAGGAATGTTTCACGACTAGTCAGGAAGGTGTTAAAGGTGCTATGTGGCCTTGGTACATCAGTGGTTGGTCTGGGTTATACATGGTAGCAACTGGATGGCGCCAGTAAGAAAACTGCCTCTCAAGTTTCACTTCCTCTGTTGGCTTTTCAGGGGGCCCCTTAGTCTTTACTCTCACTTTGTTTCTGGATGGTTCACAGATTATTTCAGTGAACTCTGACACTGCACCAGATGGAAGGTAGATGACTTAGCATCACATGCTGTGACCAGAGTTGGCCATGGTCTGGCCCTTTGCCCTCAGTTAGGTCATCAGGGTGGTGGGGAGAGTGACTCACATTCCCCACATTTACCAGGCCCTGATGGCTAGGCCAGCTACACTGTTTCTGTGTCAATGGCACCGTTCCACATGCCTACGTTGGGGAAATCTGACTGGAGGTCACCTAGGAATGCTGTATTTCTCAAGGGGTGGACTTGCCAACTGATGGACCACTACCTTGTGACCCCTCTAGCTCTGCCCACAGACATCCCACACTTCTGTGATAACTGCCATCCGTCTGATGTCAGCTGCCACCTCATTCTCTTTGTGGCCTGTTCCCTCAGCTGCAGTCCTGGCTCAGGATTTGAACCTTGTTTGCTGGGGTCCACATCACTCCCTCCAGAGCCCCATGGTCTCAGGCTTTCAGTTATAATGGTTGTTATTACCCAAGTGCTTGGCTTCACCATGTGGTCCCCTCTCCACTGATAGGGGAACTTCCTGTGTGTAAAAGCCATGGGGGAAGCTACCAAAGAATCGGGGAGGAGGCTGGCAGTAACCTGAAGGACACTTATGGCGGCGTTTTCTCCTCTCTTTTCCCTCTGAAAATATTGGGTAGGTGGTCTTCTTGCCTTCATGTGCTGGACACACAGCCCTGCTGTCCTGAGATGCTGATCTCACCAGCTTCCTTCCCTGGCACCTCTTCCCCACTCAGTGTTTTATGTTTAGATTCCACTTGGGTCCTCTGGAGGATCCTTTCCCTTGTTGCTCCACTGTCCTAACTGCCTCATTCTCCTGGTGGTTGGGACATCAGTTTGTGTGTTCTGCTTGTGTTTATGTGCTCTGTACTGTCTCCCCTTTTCCATGTGGGAGAGTTCGTTGTCTGAATCTTAAATACTGTATTATCTTACATTTAGGATGTCCAGGTCCCTGTGTGTCCACTTTGTAACGTCCCCATCCCCATAAAAAGGGGAGCGATACCAGATGTGGTGGTTGGTGAGCACATGGACAGAGATTGCACAAATCATCCTGGGAAGAAGAAGAAGGTAAGGACATGTTCCAGGTTACTTCTGTGACCTGTGACTGTTGGGTTTTTTCCCCCAGGGGAAGAAAGGTTAATTTTCTAACTGTGAAAATTAGCCCTGGTAGTTTATGTACAAAGAAAAGCCCTTAATGATAAGTCAGTGTTTTCTGGGCTGGGGATTTAGCTCAGTGGTTTTGCCACCTGCTGTGCAAGCGCAAGGACCTGAGTTCGATCCCTGGTACCAAATAAATAAATAATAAATAAATAAAATAAGTCAGTGTTTTCCTATGTTGTGAGAGCATGAGTTTCTAGTTATGGAAACAGAGTCCCTACACAGGAGAGTCCTGGCTGGGTTAGGGTCTTTACCCTACACTGCTGGGCACCAGTGTTTCCCCTGAGATGAAGAGTGAGGCTTTCCAGAACCTTTCCATTAATGTACATTTATTTTCTGAGCTCCTAGGAGCAGGTAAGAGGATATAAAATTCAGACAGTGCATCTTCTTGTTTTGGTAGCATCTGTATTTTTGTTTGATTTGTTTTTTTTTTTGGTACTGGGGGGTCAAACTCAGGACCTTGCACTTGCCAGGCAGGCAGAGCATCACTGAGCTACATCCCTGGCCCTACATCTGTATTTTTATCGAAGTTGTTTATCTGTTCATTTGGAGTAAGGTGTGTTAGGTCCCTATTCCCTGGGTGGCCACACCCCGTCTTGCTTGCTTATCTGCAGATGTGTGTGTCCAGTCCTGATCAAGTCCAGCTTGCTCTTTTTATCTTTTGCCTGTTTGCCACAGTGTGTACTGAAGATGTAGCTATTACCTGCCGTCTTGCTGCTTTCTCTCACACTCTCTTCCAGGCCCTCCTGCAGTTTAGTTGGAGGGTACTGGGATGGGTGTCCACCCCTCTCACCATGTGGAAAACAACCCTGAGAGTCCCTTTGCTGCTTTTCTGGTAGATCTGGGTTTCACATGTTCCCTCATGATAGATCCAGGTTTCCTTTATCCTGTGTTTTCTTAGCTTATTCCCTTATGTTAGGAGCACACCCATGTTTGCTTCCTGAGGGAGGCTGGGAGATAGATGGAAGCCATGTGTTTTCTGAGATTTTTGTTCTCTGCTTCCCCCAGATTACGCTTAGCACCTTGGTGTGAAGGTCCCTGCTGTGCTGCCCTCAGTGTTGGGTGGCATGGCTCACTTCCTCCAGTTGCTCTTGATTTAAGGAATTCACATCCTGGCCTTGGCCCAGCTTGGAGGATCTTGTATGTGCTGGGTACACACAACCCTGGGGTTCTGGCATGTTCTCTCCTTTTCTGGTTTCCTCCACTTCCTCCACTACTCTCTGGATTCTTGTTTCTCTTCCCTGTCCAGTAGGATCTGCCCCAGGCTGTTTCCTTACGTGCCTTTTTTGGGTGTCTCAGTAAATGTTGTTCTCCTGTGCTTGCTCTAGAGCTGGCTACTCAGAAAGTACAGAGTGGATTCCGCCTGCACTGTGGGTCATCTTCCTGGTACACTCCCTCAGGAGGCCCCTGAGGCCCATTTCTTTGGGGCTAAGATTCCCCAGAGAAAGTGTGCCTCCCCCTACCCAAATACCTGGTATTGTCCTGGCCAAGCAGAAGAAGCAGCTGGAGGTCTGCACGGTGCCTGAGCCTGCTGCTCCACCCCCAACCCCAACTGCAGAGTGGACTTCCTGCCTGCAGCCTTGCTCCCCAGGCCGGCACAGCAGCCTCTCAACCTGCGTAGGGAGAGGGCTCAGTCACTCCTGCAGTCTGGTTCTGCTCCCCTGTGCTCTAGAAACCTCACTGTAGGGCTTTGGGGTTTCTTCTCATGAGTGGGGATACTTTGTAGCCTCCTGCCTTCCAGCTGGATTCTGTCTTAGTTCCCACCCCATTGCTACTTGTCTATGTGCTTTTTACCTGCTAAAATGTTGTGGCTGTAGGTTTTATTTTTATTTATTTATTTTTTAAAATTCTTTGCTCTTGTGGGTTTATCCCTTCAAGAAGTTTCTTTTGCCACTTTTATGGTGTTTTGGGGGCAAAACCAGCATGTATGTGCACACCCTTTCCTCAGGCAGGATGCCCTCTACAGACAGCAGCCCTCATAGCTCTTGCCTCCCCACTGGAAGATTTATTCAGGTTGTTTTCCTCAGGCTGGGGCATTTGTGTGGTTGTGTGTTTGTGTCTGTCTGTCTCTCTCCCTGATCTAATTCATTAAAATAACCACTTGGAGTGGGGGAAGTGGCTCAGTGGTGAGTGCTTTCCTAATGTGCATGAGACCCAGGGTTCCATCCCTAATACTGCAAAAAGCAAAACAAGAAAAAACTTTTCTTCTGGGGGACTGATGTTTATCACATTTAAAATCAGTTTCTAGTCATAGATCCTAGTTTGTAGTTATCAACTATCTTAACCAATAGGTTTCATTAAAATACCATAGCAATCACATAAGTAGCATAAATTACCCTAAATGTAAGGCCCATTAACTCTTTGTTTCCAACTTCACAATCGAAGGAGGGACTCCCTATCCCTCCCCTCTGTGGGGAAGAGTATCCAGCTCCCTTCCTCTCCCTGAACACTACTGTGCAGCGCCCCTGGCCTGGCACCCTTCACCGTGTTGGAGAAGTGCGACCTTCACTCTTGGCTCAACCCAGATCTACCACCTCCATCTTCCCTTCCTGTTCCACCCTGGCCTTTATGCCCTTTATGCCGCCACGTGGACAAACCCCCTTCCCCTATACACACTTGCCTCCCTAATTCACAGAGAGTCAGAAGTGCCCAGAATTTATGTCAACCTCTGACCCTCCCTCCAAAAACATCCATGACTAGTGTTTGGGGGTGTGGGGGGGAGACAGATGTTCCAGCTCTTTTGCTCCTGGTGCAGGCAACCCCTGCTGACCCCAGAGCTCCCTGGAGCCAGCTGCCCTCTGTTTGATGGGCTTGTCATGCCTCTGCCTGGCCTCCTGTCTCCCATGAGGTCCTTTTCTTCTTAGTCTTCAGGGACAGCTCCAGTTTACCTTCTTGTGAGTCCCCAACCTTGCTGTCTTAATCAGGATTCTTCTTCTGGAAGTAAGATGTCTGAATGGAACCTGACACCCTCATTCCATGTAGCTAACACCTGTGTCTAGCTTGAATGTGAGTGGTCTGGCTGGGGCTGGTAAAGAATGCCTACTAACATGGGTGTCCTCTCAGGTCTTCACATACCGGTGCTCGAAGGAGGGATGCAAGAAGAAGGAGATGCTGCAGCTGGCTTGTGTACAGTGTCATGGCAACTTTTGCATTCAGCACAGACACCCTCTGGACCATGGCTGCAGGGCTGAGAGCTGCCCTGCCAGCAGAGCAGGGTGAGGATGGTTCCTGGCTGCGGCCAAGCTGGCAAGCAGGGCCATGCACAAGAACTGGTTTGAATTTGGGGCTGGGGTGGGGAGCAACTTTAAGCATCGTCTGCACCAAGTTGTTGATCCTAAGTATCTGCTGTAGAGTGGGGGTATAATAAAATCGGATTTTAAGTTAAATTTTGAGTCTGCTTGTGTTAGTTTCTTGTAGCTGCTGTGACAAAGTACCATAGAAAGTACCTTCAACAGGAGGGACATAGGGTGAAGTCAGAGTATGGGCACACTGGCTCTCTCCGAGGCCTGAGGGAAGGGGCCTACCCAGCCTCCCCAGCTTCTTGTGTTACTGGCTGCTTTAGTGAGCCTCGACATGTGGACCCAGCACCTGATCTTTACCACCGTCTTCCCATGGCCTTCCCTGTGTGCACCTCTGTGTCCCCTCTTCCCCTTCGCATCATGGGGGCCCCTTCTGATGACCTCTTTGAAGCTTGGTCACTTCTGAAGGCCCTGACTCCAGATCAGGTCTATTCTGAGGCCCCAGCATGTCCTTTGGTAGGACACAATTCAGTCCATAACTCTAGTACCTTTATCAAGCAGTGGAAACATTTGCCTAAATTTGCTGGTGAATGAAAATGGAAGGATAAGTTACCTTTTAATTGCTTTCTGTTGCTTCTCATGTCCATACCTAATGGTCAACTGCCCTGCTGTGTAGCTTGGATGGGCTTTCTTGGTGCACGTGGTGGGACTGACTGAACACTGACTTTTCTGTGCAGGGTTCAGGCCAGAAGAGCCTCTGAGTCTAAGCTATCAGGATCTCTAAACTCCCTGTCTTCCAGTTGGCTGGCCCAGCGACTCAGGTGAGTCCGAGGGGCATGCATGAATGAGTGTAGCTGTGGTTATGTTAGGTGAGGCACTGTGCCCAGTAGTCGTGGTGCCCTTAGTAGCTGATCGTGTGATGGAAGGACAATGCAGAACTCCCAAATTCGAGTGCTGTCCATTCCAGCTCCAGGTCATGTTGTCTGCTTCTGAAGTGTGTCTTGTGGCCTCCGAGATCCTTTTCTTTTTTTTCCCCCATTAAGTTTATTGGTACATTTTCGGTATAAAATACAGTTACATTCATCACTGGGATCTTGTACCATTACATGAATATCTTGATTCTTATTTTTTTCCCCTTCCCCTGCCCTCCCTTCACCCCCTCCACCGTTCCCTATTTGCAAAGACCTTGTTTCCATTTTTTTCCTTTTCTCATATTTTTTCTTTTCCCTTTTTTCCTTTCCCCTACCCCTCCCACTTCCCCTGCTCCTTTAGACCTTTTCTTCCTGTTACACAGTATCAATTATACATTTTTTAAATTACAATACAAGATCCTTTTTTTATGATGGGCCACTTCTAGGTAATCACAATGTGTCAAAACAGGTGGCACTTTCTGTCTCTTCCAGGTGGAAATTGAAGCGATGAGCAGACTTTGTGCATAATAAGGTGTACAGCTTGTCTCTGCACTTTTCCAGCCTGCGGGTGACTGATGGTCTAATACTTTCTTCTCCTGGGGAGCAGTCTTTCATTAAAACTTTTCAGCGATTCATACAAATTTGAGGGGGATATTAAGTGATACTCCCAAGATAAGTCACGTCACCATAATGAGATCAGGTAGCTTTAAGAGCGAAGGATACAAATCAGCCAGAGCAGCAGCAGTTCTGCCTGGGACTTTTATCAGTCCAGGACCCAGTCTTCTGAAGATTCTGTCCCTTAAACACCAGACAGCTGGGCAGAGCTCTGGGCTCTTCTCCATGCAGCATCTGTATCGAGTTAGCCATTTGAGGCCAAGGACAGGAGGAACCTCTCTTGCCTTATTTGGGTCCATGTCTAGGGCAGCCCTCTGGCCACTTAAGGTCCCTGAGAGAATGTGAGTCAGTCTTGCATCCATTTCTGATTCCGTGATGCTGGGACACTCTTGAGAGAGGTGTGTGTTAGTACTGCTGCATGCTGTTTCTACCACAGCAGCGTCTAGAACTGGCCCCTAGACAGCTCACTTGTGTCTGGCTTTGGTTTCAACTCCAAGAAGAATTACAAGATGGCAGCAGATCAAGAGGAAGCCCTGTCTGGTGTTGAAATGATGAAAACTTCCAGAAGTGACTTAAAACTACAAAGCAGGCAGAGGGGCTGGTTTGATGTTTTGAAAGAACAGAAAACCCAAGGAATGGGGAGGGGCGAGGGGCAAGCTGGGGTAGGTAACCCACAGTCTCAAGGTTTGGATGATGATCCTTTTCCTATTCCTATTACTGGCCATGACCTCATCAGCAAGGCCCACATTCTAGGAACCCCGGTGACTTGCAGACACGAGCATTAGGTTCAGGATCAGTCAAGTCCTCTTGTTTCCCAGGGCCTTGGGAGTCAGGGCTGAGGTGAAGTAGTGCCGTACCAGCCAGTCCTGATCCTAACCCCACAGTCTGGACACACCGTCCAGACTTCCCACTGAGATAGTTTATTGCACCTGGACTAGAAGTCCTAGCAAACTACCTTTTCTTCTGGTTTCATAGCCTCTAATTATAATGGGGGAGAGGGGCTCAGTTACATTCCACACGAAGGTGGTTGAGGCTGTTTTCATGCTGCCTTGTTTAGTGGTGCTTGCTCCAGGCTGGTCATTCTCAGGCACTAACACCCATCAATCAGCAACACTGGGCTCTTTCCAGAGTGCTGGGCCCACCCCTGCCTCTCTGACGGAGGTCCGAGTGGACTCAGATTTGCAGTTAGATCTAGTCCCAGGTTGTGCTGCAGGTCTGGGGGCTCATTTGGGCAGACCACATCTGTCCAGCACAGCTCCCATTAACCATTCAGGCAGTGGGTGCTTGAAACACAGCCAGGACAACTAAATCTTTAATTTTACTTGTTTAAAACTGCTCAGTTCAGTTGTTAGAATACTTCTAAATATGTTAGGAGCCTGGGTATATGAATCTACCCTGGATATATGAATTTGTAAAAGTTTTTGTTTTTGGTGCTAGGGATGGAAACCAGCCTTCCATATACTAAGCATGTGTTCTACCACTGAGCTACATCACCAGCCCTATAATTTAATTTTGTGAAATCTAAATACAGATCAGCCATTTCTGATGAAAATGTCATGTCCAAATTGAGATGTATCCTAAATAAAAATCAAAACCACCAGACTTTGCAGACAATACTAAAAAAGTAAATAGGATTATTAAAATATTGTTTACGTGTTGAAATGATACTGTTTTAGATACAATGAGTTAATAAAACACAAAAGTTAATTTCACCTGGTTTTTTATTTAACCGTGGCTTCTTGAGATCTTAAAAGTAGGGAGATTGCTTGTGTTACATTTCTGTTGAATGGCACTGTTCAAGAGGTTCTAACCTAAAGAACAAAGCCTCACAGATGGAACATCCCTAATCTGAAATGCTCTAAAATCGAAAACTTTTTTTTCTTTTGGAGATAGGTTCTCACTATGTACCCAGGCTGACCTTAGACTCAGAATCCTCCTGCTTCATCTCCTGAGTGCTGGGATGATGGGCATGCACCATGACATCTCAGACATTCTCATGTGACACTGTAAATTGAAGATTCCACAGCTGACCCAATGTTCATTTTTCCATCCTCACATTTAACTGAAATCTTTTTGTGTGCTGCTTGAGCTTTCTGCTGAGAAGTTCAAATCACTTGGTATTTTTCCTTAAGCACTTGGTTAGTAGACATTTGGATAACTCAGAAGGGCCTAAGTTAGGAATGTAAAAGTCTGCTTCTCAGTCCTGCTCCTTGGAAATAAGTCCTACCATCTTTTGAACCAAGAAATTTCTGTGCATTTGTAACAATTTTTTTTAAAAGGTCAAGGGCACACCCTGTCTCTCCACTTTCTGCTTTTTCCTCTGTGGGCATCTCCTGCTGGCCTGAGGAATCTGCTTATAGACCACTGCATAGTGCTTCACAGCATTCATGTGTCTTGGTCTTTCTGCTGGATGCTGGACCCTGTGTGATCTCCCAGTTGCTATCACTGTGCTGGAAGGGGCCATATGTTACGCCAAGCTGCTGTCCAAAAAGTCACACTTGGTCTTGTCAGTTGCCCCATAACCTTATCAGCAGGCACTCTCTGTAGTGCATATTTTCAGGTATTTGATTGATGTTTTAAATTTCAGCAAGACCTCCCTACAGCAAGTAGAGTCAGGCACGGGAAGGGCATCTTTCCCTATCTGGGTGCTTTACTCTTTTTTGAGCTGTGCTTTGGCTGGCATATCCAGCTTGTCTCTGCACAGGGCCCAGAACCAGGCTTATGTTCCATGTCCAGGGACTAGTGGATAGCCTGCTTGTGCTTCAGGTGTGTGGGCTGCAGTATCAAACATTTTCACAAGATGTCACCAAAGGCCTTTGCTGGAATCATCAGGGTTGGCGGTGTCCTTCACAGCATGTGTCCAACCAGCCCATCAGTCCTGCTTTGGCTGTGTAGGTTGACTGTGTAAGGGGCATTTTCAATTAACCTTCCAAATTCTGTGCGGTAAGCCTAGTCTAAACACAAAAGATCGGTTCTGCAATGGGTCGGTGGCTGAAATAGTCTTAGATTCCCACATTCAAAGTTGAGAGTCAGGATTCTTGGACATTCTCTCAGCTTTGGAGTGTCTTAAGAGAAGTATGGGGCCAGGAATTTAGCTCAGTGGTTCCAGTGCCTGCCTCAAAAGCGTAAGGTTCTGAGTTCGATCCCCAGTACCCCCCCCGCCGCCCCAAATAAATAAATAAATAAATGAAGGAAGGAAGGAAGCATATTTAAGGAAAAAAAAGTGTGAAGGAAAGCTGGTCTCTGGTCCTGAGTTGACGTTGCCCAGATGAGTGTGGATTTCCTTTATTTTACTGAAATGGTATAAATACATACAAACACACCTTGTTACACAAGGAGAATAAAGCAGTCAGAGCTTATGGTATGACATTAGCTAAATTTTGTCCACAGAGGTTTGCTTTTCATTTACTTTGTTTATGTCATCCTTTCATCTCTCTCTACTGACAAGACTTGGAGACTCTGCTCACATCCATCTTGCAGAGAGCTCTGCCCATGGCTGAGGTGGTCAGCCATGGGGACTCAGCTCATATCCATTTGTCACAATCTTCTACAGATACCTTAAGTAGCCAGAAGATGAGGCAGGGGCAGTCTGTTCATTTCCATATTGTGGGGTGATCCACAAACATGTGATGGTCAGGATCTCTACTCACAGGCATGTTGTAGAAGGCTCTGCAGACCTGACTGATGTGGTGAGGACACGGTGGATTCTACTTAAAATTCACAGACATGAGATGGTTAGATGTGGAGGGGGTGCATTTCTGCTCACATCTGTGTTGTAAAGTGCTCCACACATGTCTGTGATCTGTAATGGTCAGGACATGGGGGGCTTTACTCACATTCGTGTTTTAGAGAAGTCAACACACAAGATAGCCAGACATTTGGAGTGGGGGCACTCTGGTCATATTGACCTTGTAAAGGGGTCCATACACACCTGAAATATTCAAGACACAAGTTCTGCTCATGTCCATGTTATAGAGAGACCAACACACCGCTGAGATGGTCAGGAACTAGGAGCTCTGAACTCAGTATGTGGCTGGTCCCACACACAGACCTGATATGGTCAGGACGTGAAGGGGCGCCTGTGCTCACATTGTAGAGGGCTCGTCCACACATAGCTAAGGTGGCCAGGATATGAGGGTGGGGGGACTCTGGCTATACCAACTTTCTAGAGGGTTCCATATACCTGACATGGTCGAGACATGGGACCTCTGCCCACGTTACCTTGTAGAACCACCACACAGCTGGATGGGTGTGGTCAGGACTGGGAGGACTCTGAACGTCCACATTATAGAGGCTCCAAATGTGGACGAGATATTCAGACATGGGGAAAAGGGGTACTGCTTCTATCTACAGAGTACAGAACTCCATATAGGGCAGCTGAGATGGCTGGGCCATGGGGGTGGGTTTGCTCACGTCTACCTTATTAGGGTTCTGCACACACTTGATGTGGTTGGGTCCTGGGCTCTGGTCGTATCTCTGTTGTATAGCCTTCCACTCATACTGAAGCCGATCAGGACATGGGGTGCTCTGCTCACATCCACATTACAGAAGACTCTACCTACCAGAGGTGGTGGTCAGAACATGGATGGCTCTGCTCACATCATTGTCTTACAGTCCTTCACACACGGCGCCAGTTGTCATGACATGGAAGACTGGTTGCATCTTGTAACCAGGAGTGCTGCACACTTGAGAAGGTGAGGAGAAAGGTGCTTTACTCACATGCATGTTGTAGAGGTTCTTCACACAGCTGAGGTGGGCTCTGCTTACACCTAGTTTTCTGCAGTGCTACACACCTGCCTGCGGTGGTGAGCATGGGGTTGGGTAAAGGGTTCTTTGCTCACACTCATCTTGTAGAAGGTCACAATATGCCTTTGGTGGTCAGGACATGTGCTGCTGTGTTTATCTGCATGGTTGAGGGCTCCACACATGCATGAGATGATCACTGCTTGGGCATGGCTCTGGTCACATCCATGTTGCAGAGGGTTTCCACACTTCCGAGCTGGTCAGAATCAGGTGGGGCCCTCAGGGTTGAGGGCTCCATATGTGACAGAGATGGATATGATCTGTGAGTGTTCTACTCACTTTCCTGTTGTACAGGGACCACACATGCCTTGAATTAGCAGGACATGGAGGGCCACTCTTCCCATCTGTGTTGTCGAGGTCTTTATAAATGCCTGAGTTTGACAGGACATTGTGGTGGGGGTTGAGGGCTGGGGCTCCTCACATCTACATTACCCAAGGCTCCCCACGTTCCTGAAAAGGCTAGTCAGGGTATGTGCGGGTCCCTTCTTTCACTTACATTGTGGGGTGTACAACACCTGCCTGAGGTGGTCAGGACATGGGGTGCTGTGGACATATCCAGGCAGAAGAGGGATCCTCAAAGGTGTGAAGTCAGGAAATGGGTAAAGGATCTGCTCAAGTCTCATTATAGAAGGTTCCACAAACACTGAAGGTTGTGAGAGCATGTTAGGGCCTTTCTCCCACCCCATTGGAGAGTGCTCTACATCCCCCTGAGAAGGTCAGGACAGGAGGGTTGTGCTCAGATTGTGCTTGGAGAAGGCTCACAATCACATTGGAAGTTGGGACATGGGGAATCTGTTCACATCCTAGCTGTATATTGTAGGGAACAGGGAATGGGGACGTTACTAGAACCTCTGTAGTAAGTCTTAGTCTCCTGCGAGCACGGCAGTACACGGTGAATTACAGGAAAGGTAGAAAAACGAGACTGAGAAGAAGCTGAGCTTTGGGTCTGATCAGTGCTGCTCTGGGCGGCAAAGACGAAAGCCCCCAACTTTACCGCACCTTTTATTCAGTACATCGAGAGAAACAGATGTAACAAATGACTTGCAGAGAGTTCAGTACATCGGGGTAAACAAGATGTAACAAATGACTTGCAGAGAGTTCAGTACATCGGGGTAAACAAGATGTAACAATCCAAGAGCAATGAGGCACTGAGTAGATGTTTGTCCCACCCAGGATGTTCTCAGCTCCCAGGATGTTTCTTGTCCAGGAGAATCACAGCATCACCGGATCACTGAGGTCTCAGTTGTGACCGGAGGCCAAAATGGAATTATGTCTTGGAATTCCATAGCTGGGCTATAGGCAAGAGAACTAGGCTAACCAAATGATTTTATCCTAAAATTATGTAGCATTGCTCCCAACAGTATGTGCCTCTGTACATTGAGAAAGGATTAGGATTTGTGAGTTGGCTCTGATTACATCTACACTTTTGTGGGTCACACACATTTGAGGGGGTTTTTCATCACACTTCATAGTTAAGGGCAGTACACAGGGTAATTGGGTGAAACATGGGGTGCTCTGCTCCCGTCCACATTACAGAGGGTTCCACATACACAATGTAGTTCACAACAGTGAGGTTCTGCTCACATGCTTGGTGTAGAGGGCTCAGAACACACTAAGACAGGACATGCAAAGATAGGTTCACTTCTTTTTGTAACAGTTCTAATGCCTGAGATGGTCAGCATATAGTTGGGCTGCTCATATTCATGTTGTCCAGGGCTGCAAACATTCCTGGGGTTGTCAGAACATGGAGAGGCTCTGCTCACCTTCTGTTTGGACAAGGCTCCTCACAGGCTTGAGGCAGTCACCATGTGTGCATGTTGTAGTCCTGTGTTCATATTCCTGGTGTAGAGGGTTCCACACATGCCTCAGCCCCTGTGCACATGGGCTGCTCTG